GTTTTTAGGGCAACACGGTGGTCAACTGGTTAGCGCGTCAACCCCAGAGTGCAGAGGTGCAGGGTTCGATTCAGGCTCCGGCCTCCCTGTGTGGAGTTTGCATGTTCTCCCCGTGCCTGTGTGGGTTTTCTCCGGGTATTCCTGTTTCCTCCCACATTCCAAAAACATGCATGGCAGGATAATGGAACACTCTAAATTGACAGCTGGGATAGGCTCCAGCCCCCCCGCGACCCTTGTGAGGATGAAGCAGATCGGAAAATGGATGAATGTTTTTTTGTTTTTTTTTAAAGTGCATATATTTATAGCCGATACAAAAGCCTACTAAATTATTGTGGGGAAAAAAAAATACTGAAGTCAATCTTCAAGACACTTCTATTCGGCAACCAAGCTTATTATTGAGGCCAGTTAAAGCCGTCTGAGATCTCTTACCACTTTTCATGTCAGCCACCACCTCTCTTGGTGAAGGAATTAATGATGACCTTCTCTCTAATCCACTGTGTGAAAATGATGCTGACCACCAGGCTGGGTGCAGGGAAAGATAGTCTGCTTGGCCGCAACGACTTTCTCGACATGATTGACTTCCCCGCTACTTAAGACCCATCGGCTAAATAATTGAGCCTCTGCTCACTCTTCAGTCCACATTGAAGAACTGTAATTGAATGTATACGCTTTGTGTCCATTTAATTACAGATGCACTATAGTGCTCCCAAGGTTGAAACTTAGCAACTTCATTCTATTGGGGTTTGACTCAACAAACTGTTTGGAAAGAAAATCTTTATATGTCCAGTTTGACGTCATACTATAAATCAAAGAGTACATGGACAGTGCACACGTACTAAGTACCGTATTTTCCGCACTATAAGGTGCTTCGGAGTATAAGGCGCACCTTTGATGAATGGACTATTTTAAAAGTGTTTTCAGATATAAGGCACACTGCATTATAAGGCACATAGAATAGAAGCTACAATTGTGGCTGCGGTTGCGTGATGCATCCACTAGATGGAGCTCCGCTAAAGAATACAATACAATACAGCTTTATTTTTTTAGCACTTTCACGACCGCTGCCGCGCTAACAAACGCTTTACAGAACATTTAAAATACTACATTCAATTAATCAGAATATTGAATCATAAAAATAAGAGGCCTCGGATTATAAGGCGCAGTCGGCTTTTGGCAAAATTGAATGCTTTTAGGTGTGCCTTATAGTGCGGAAAATACGATAAATTAAAATAAAACAACATTTTACAATGCCAGAACACTACAAATTGAATTGAATTGTAAGCGACTTGTGTTTTGTTAAAATCAATTTAAATGAAATAAAGAAATGACTTGGAATAGGAGCCCACTCATGTGCTGCAACACTTCTCACCTTCTTGCCGTCTTGTTCTTGTTGCACAACTCTTGTTTTTTGTTTTTTTTTTTGTGACAAATTAACTCACAGCTGATCTGTATCAAAGGCTATTATGCAATCCCCTCTGAGCTCAATTTTCTCCTGCTTAAAAAAAAACGTTAAAGGAAAAACAAGAAAACAGAGAGAAACAGAAGTTTGCACTGGTGGCACGTCTAATGCCTTTGAGAAACATAACGCTTATTTCACACAAATGAGCCCTACTGCGCGCACACACACACACACACACACACACACACAAAAGATAATTAATGTTTCCGAATAGACTTCTGTGGATTCAAAAAGTCCCTTCCAAATTTGCCGTTTTTTCAGCCACCATGTGTTTATCTCACATTGGAATCAATTTCACTCTCAACAACTTTTTAATGTCTCTTTTTTAAAACCCCAAATCATATTTTTCATCCATGACGCAAGACAGCTATTTAATATTGTTATTGTCATTATATTTCAGTCTGCTTTACCTGCAGGGGATGTTTAACTTGAGTGAAGCGATTTGTTTTGAGTAATACAGCTCCAAAAAACAAAAACAAAAACAAAAAAAATGAGCTGAATCACTTATAAACATGCTTGGAGCCCTAAAGTTACCTTTCTATTGAAGGTTGCATTGGATGATGCTGTTTTTCCTTTCCATCATATAGTGTGACCACTGAAACCCATACAAGATGTGTCTGGAAACTTCCAGACAGTTGTCATAAAAGATAGATTTCATACCCAGCAAAAAAAAAAAAAAAAAAAAATACATTAACAGCAAAGGCTTAGACAGTTTTGCAACAATAACATAAAAAAAAAAGTCCTGATTTGGTCATTTTGATCTTTTCATTTATTTATTCAAATGAATAAGTTTAGAGTGATGGTTTTGGAGATGTGATGAGTTTTTCCAACGTTGGCCATTTATGTAATGGTGGCTTTCTGTGAGATATGAATTCTTATGATTTTTTTTTTTCTGTCTCAACGTTTTGGTCGTCAGATAAAATGACATCCGACTGCATCAACAACATCTGTTCAAAACATTTATGTGCATCCAAAGTCGTCTTTGTTCGTTTTATTCATGAGGGTAATTATCTCTTGTCTTATGAGTCTTCAAGCATCTTCTGGCTGCAATTGAACACGCTGGTTTGATAAAGAAAAATGGCATAAAATGTGTTTTCTTTGTTTGCCTAACAGGGTATGATCGAAACCGGTAAACAACTGATTGAACAGGTGTGGAAATGTTCATTTGCATTTCTATGCTTGCTCTATTTTATTTCTGACCAAATCAATCCAAAATAAAAGCCTCCATTGGGTTGGTGTTGTTTATCTCAATCGTACCTGAAACTTTATAGCCACTGTGCGCGTTTTATGTGACTTTAATAATTGGAAAGGAGAACTTCGAGTTGTCTTGGGTCTGTGGTTTTTATAGGTAAGCTAGGACACAAAAAAACAAAACAAAACTGAAGTTCAGCCCCCTTTATGGCTCACCTCTCCAAGCTCATCATCAAATCTGCTTGTTAAATGTTTCAACATGGGAATCTAAGTTTTTTTTTTTTTTTTGTCTTGTTTTTTTTTAACAGGATGAATTTATTGAAAGTGGTTCTGGTAGTCACTACAGTACACAAGATTACTTTTTCCACCGGCTGTTAATCATCCATGGTTATAATAAAGGGAGTACGAACAGGGTGAGAGTGTGCAAGGACAATACGGAGCTCTGTTTTTACTGCCTGGCGATGCACTTGTGATGTGGCTGAGGAGCTTTACTAGCACTATAAAAACAGCACTTTCTTTTAGGGTTTAACTGTCTGTATGGCGAGTATGAGGAAGAAAGATAAAAGTTACACTTTACGGACAAATGTATGAGGACACTGCTCGCATTTTAAGGAGAGAATACTGAACTGATGTTGCACAAGAGATAGGGTCTGGCTCACTGTCTCCATTCGCTCGCTTGTGTTTGATTGGGAGTTGAGGTCACGGCTTTCAATTTCTTCCACACCAAACTCATCCAACTACATGTTTATGGACCCCACTTCAAGCAGGAGGGTAGTTAAAATTTACAGCAAACATAACTCACACGCTCACTGATCATCAGGCGTGAGTTCAGTCACCACCAAGCCCGGAGTAGCAATTTGGGCATGGCGATTTCCCGGTGGGCAGGGCTGCTGCATGCGCTGTTCAGGGTGACGATTCTAGAACATACCGCACGTTAATTTCCTCCAGCCCACAGATCTGATTTCAAATATAAATATAAAGTACATTTACGATATTTAAAGGAAGGATTCATTATTCTTAACATGTGGCTTGATTGCTAGTACCGTATTTTCCACACTATAAGGTGCTTCGGAGTATAAGGCGCACCTTCAATGAATTTTAAAACTGTTTCCATTTATAGGGTGCACCGCATTATAAGGTGCATGAGATAGAAGCTACAATAGTGTCAGAACATTTAAAATACTGCGTCAACAAAAAAATCTGAACATTGATCATGTATAAGGAGCATCGGATTATAAGGTGCGCTGTCGGCTTTTGAGAAAATTGAATGCTTTTAGGTACCCCTCATAGTTCAGGGATGAGTTTAACTTTGTAAAAGACATAAGAGCTGAAAAATAGACCTCTCGATTAATATATTTCACTTTTATGGCAACATTTTCAAAACACAGATACAACCATGTTGGATCGAATGACACGTGACGTGTGCAATTTACTGCTGGACAATAGACACATATTAGACAAAGAGGGGAATAAAGAAAAACACTGTTGTAATGCATAGCAAGAATTATGTCCATAAAGCGAGCGGTATACCCGCTTGTAAATGAAGCTGCTGAGACACCGGAACAAAGCAGCACTCTGATCTTCATGCGCGTAAGGTCGGAGGACATTACAGCAGTGTCCATGCATGTGTATAGTGAACGACATGGCAGACGGACTGCTGTCTGCTTTGCCCTTACTGGTCCACTCGTTCTCTTTGATTTTGTGCCATCAAAAGACCATGGACTGCTGCATCTTTCACATCAAAAGTGGAATTTCACTCGGTTGTCTTATTTCACGGTATTGCCTGGAAACGATATGACCTCATTCTTTCAATATGAATGCTTTAGTTGCGACGTAGCTGTGTGCATATAAAATTGTGTGGTCTAGTCCAAAAGTGACACACGTGAAAATTATCTTGTGACTTGTATGAGAGTAAAGACTGCCAAATTTTTCTTCATAGATGATGCAAAAAAAACACACTGAAGGTCTGGTTACCTTTTGGTGTTGCACCAGTGGGGCATTTCTGCATTATAGTGCCTGTGAATGAAGCACTGAATGCACCTACCATCACTTAAAAGTTACTCTGTACCTTCAACAGGCCGAGCTGGTCTTGGCTCTCAGGTGTACGGAATGCTCCGGACAGAATTGAATTCCACAAACATAGGCCCAGACAAGAGATTTATATATATATATATATATATACTGTATTTATATTTACAAAGAACACAAATCTATGAGACAAAATGTCAAGCACTTGGACACGGAGTCGTGAGCAAGGCTAATAATCCGACAGCAAGTTGTGGGTGTAGCTTGGCTTTTAAAGCAGACAGGTAACGAGGCCAGATTCGAGGCAGGTGCAACTTGTAAGGGAACGCCCACTCTCCAGCTGTAGACTTAGAAAACCAAGCAAACAAGGCAGGATCATGACATTATCAGGATTTGAGAAATCTGTTGTGGGGACAATTCGTATGTAAATTAGATTATCGTAAACATGGCCACTCAACAGTAACACCACAAGAATGTACCAACACAATGATTTTACAGCTCATATTTTACATTGTGTTAACAACCTACTGCTGCCGTAAAGGGAGCTCGCAAAACCACATCGATCCTTAATTACGAGACTCGTGACAACCAGGTGCTGCGGAACCCTCGTTCACGGCATCATGTTGTCACATTAATCAAATTCAAACAGAAGGGCCATACCATCAGGTGTGTAGGTTTAAAATTGTTTCAAGAGGATCGTTTGCGTACAAAAGGGTGGAACCTCATTGGGGCCTGAAAGTTCCACTTGAGTGAATGTGTCAAGACAAGGATCTCAAATTTATAACACTCAATCTGACACAAAGCTGTCTGATAATATCACGTGTGTGCACTTAAGTGGATTGTTGGATAAAATGTGCCGTTTTTCCTTTCCGCTTCATTTTGTCCACGTCAGGCACCAACCCAAGATCTGGCTCATGAATTTGAGATGAATGTATGAATACATACATTTCTGTGAGATAAATCCCCCGGCGGCTCGTGTTTGGGCGGAAAATGACTCTGAAACACGTGCACACATTCACAGTGTTGATTACTTATTATTATTATTCTCATTATTTTACAGTGTTGCATAAGCCTCAGGCTGTTCCTAACAATACAGTTATGGAACTTGGAATGGAAATGATGTAGTTCATTTCAGTCTACACTGTTCCAAATTACCAACATAACAACTAGAAATGCCATTTGGGGTGGAGGGGGGCGGGGCGGATGCTAGATGCTGACTGCGGAAAATGTAATGATGTGGAGTTATCATGAAATTAAATCATGTGGAATGACATTGGAAGGCATTCAAATATATGATGTGATACAGAACGATACTGAATGATATCGGTGAAAAATGTGCAATATGTTGAAAAATGTGGATTGATATTTAACAATATTGAATGATGTGGAAGAATAATGTAAAATTTGGACTGATGCTGAATCATATGGAACGATCTTGAAAGAGGAAATGTCGAGGAACGACACTGAATGATATCAACTGATGTGGAATTATACTGGTGAAACATGTACAATATGTTGATGAAACATTTGAAATTGTTTTTGAATGTTCGCAATTGCGAAAACATTGAGAAACGGTCATGGTAGAGGACCTATGGTAGACCAAACAAAATGTCTGAACAAAAACCACTTGCAGGGGTACAGTGGAAAAACTAAATCAAAAACATAAACAAAAGGCCTGAAAACCACAAGAACCCAAAGTAACAAACAAACAAAACAAAAACCTTTAACAGGAACATAAACAACATGACAGAAACACAACAATCTAACAAAGACTGACAGAACGCAGGAAACTAAATACAAGCAAACTGACTGACTGACTGAACAAGGAACACCTGAACAAGATCCAAAGCGTTGAGGGAGCTGATTGGTTGACACAAAGGGACCCGGATGACAACAAGTGGCCACAAAACCAAACGAGGAAGACCAAAGCACACGACGAAACAAAATCAAAACGTATTCTAATCAAACAGAATCATGACAGAATCATTCTCAAAGTGAAGCGATTGAGGAGAACTTAAAGAATTTCAAACGGAAATGATGAGAAGGTTGTTGAATGTGTCATTTGGAATGAATGGGGATTTTTTTTTTTTTAATCGAAAATGTGGAATTGTCACTCAAATATATGTTACATCACGACCTCAAAATAATCTGCTTGGTTAGTAGACTGAACGATAGGCTGACTCCACTGTTTCATATAATGTTATACTGACCCCAAGTGGTGATGCCGCAGAAGTGCATCATTTCTTTTCTACGTGTGTTCACAGGCCTGCTGGGGATGGTGGCCCACATGATGTTCACCACAGCCTTCCAGCTGACTGTCAGTCTGGGCCCCGAAGACTGGAAACCTCAGACATGGGACTACAGTTGGTCATACATGTGAGTCTACACATGTGCATACTTCTTACGTGCAATGTTCTGGTTTGAAAGGGCAGCACAAGTGCACGGCTGTTTTTCAGCGCCGTTTCTTTCGAATTAGTTGGAACTGTATTCTGAAGGATTTCAATGTCCCGTATTTGTGACATTTAAATTACGCTCCTCTCTTTAGATTAGCGTGGAGTTCCTTCACAGCGTGCATGGCGTCCTCCGTCACGACCATCAACCGCTACACCAAAACCATCCTGGAGTTCAAGCACAAGCGAAGGAACATTGAGAAGAACTTAAAGATCAAGCAGAAGCTGTTGGAGCTGGACGCTCCCGAGCAGGTGTGGGACATGTACATCAGCTCGGTGCCAAGTACTGCAGAGGAGCTGCTGGACCTTTCGTCCAACGGCCGCAAACTCTCCAACACCTCCATCTTCTTGGACCTCAACGACCTGCCGGGCCAGCAGGGGGAAGAATACTGCTAGAGGAGCTATTAATTGATCAAACGTCATTATGTCATGGGTTTTAATTACTGGGGAGGGGGCGGGGGGGTACTAACAAAAAAGTAAAATGTGTTCTTGCAGATGAACCCTTTCAGGGACAGCGGTTACTACAGTGGACAGTTTATCGTGTTATCAGGTTACAGGGTGCATTAAATGGTCAACATAAGAACTGATTGTTTTAGTTCCCTGGCCTGTAAATTGCTACATACATTTGTTCAGTTAAATCAGATCTAAGATAGAGTCTCAAATAGTTTCCCCCAAACGAGGAAGACCAAAGCACACGACGAAACAAAATCAAAACGTATTCTAATCAAACAGAATCATGACAGAATCATTCTCAAAGTGAAGCGATTGAGGAGAACTTAAAGAATTTCAAACGGAAATGATGAGAAGGTTGTTGAATGTGTCATTTGGAATGAATGGGGATTTTTTTTTTTTTAATCGAAAATGTGGAATTGTCACTCAAATATATGTTACATCACGACCTCAAAATAATCTGCTTGGTTAGTAGACTGAACGATAGGCTGACTCCACTGTTTCATATAATGTTATACTGACCCCAAGTGGTGATGCCGCAGAAGTGCATCATTTCTTTTCTACGTGTGTTCACAGGCCTGCTGGGGATGGTGGCCCACATGATGTTCACCACAGCCTTCCAGCTGACTGTCAGTCTGGGCCCCGAAGACTGGAAACCTCAGACATGGGACTACAGTTGGTCATACATGTGAGTCTACACATGTGCATACTTCTTACGTGCAATGTTCTGGTTTGAAAGGGCAGCACAAGTGCACGGCTGTTTTTCAGCGCCGTTTCTTTCGAATTAGTTGGAACTGTATTCTGAAGGATTTCAATGTCCCGTATTTGTGACATTTAAATTACGCTCCTCTCTTTAGATTAGCGTGGAGTTCCTTCACAGCGTGCATGGCGTCCTCCGTCACGACCATCAACCGCTACACCAAAACCATCCTGGAGTTCAAGCACAAGCGAAGGAACATTGAGAAGAACTTAAAGATCAAGCAGAAGCTGTTGGAGCTGGACGCTCCCGAGCAGGTGTGGGACATGTACATCAGCTCGGTGCCAAGTACTGCAGAGGAGCTGCTGGACCTTTCGTCCAACGGCCGCAAACTCTCCAACACCTCCATCTTCTTGGACCTCAACGACCTGCCGGGCCAGCAGGGGGAAGAATACTGCTAGAGGAGCTATTAATTGATCAAACGTCATTATGTCATGGGTTTTAATTACTGGGGAGGGGGCGGGGGGGTACTAACAAAAAAGTAAAATGTGTTCTTGCAGATGAACCCTTTCAGGGACAGCGGTTACTACAGTGGACAGTTTATCGTGTTATCAGGTTACAGGGTGCATTAAATGGTCAACATAAGAACTGATTGTTTTAGTTCCCCGCCCTGTAAATTGCTACATGCACTTGTTCAGTGAAATCAGATCTAAGATAGAGTCTCAAATAGTTTCCCTTCACAAATCTTGTAATGGTCACTTCTGATGATGTCAGAGATTCATTACCTCCACCAATGAGACTTTGATCATAATCCATGTGCATTTAATATTTTGGAAAGTTTTTGTATTGGGTCTTATTATACAGTATTGTATCATGAGTGGGCACAAAAAATACATTCTTGAAAAGTTTATTTATTTATTTAAATTGAATGAAAAAGTGCCGAATCTTTGTGACTGCACTAAGATGAGATCTGGAGAAAATGGAGCTTGGGTCTTGTAGAATAATTTCTGTACAGCCTTCATAAGAGTGTAAATGTGTATATTAAAAAAAAATGTAGACTACAGTGGTCGCAGAAGTCTCGACAGGCTATGCTGAGTGCCTTGGCTCGCTATAGGATGCTTTCCATCAAACAATGACTGTCGTAGACACTCACACGATTGATGGCAACGCTATTTCGTTCTCTAGTAACAACTGTGCCAACTGCCAAATGTGATCAGTTGAAGGGTTGCATTCTGTGTGACCCGATCATGTATCTCGATGTTGTGTTACTATATAAATGTACACATTTAAAAAACACAACCAAGTTATTTAAATGTATTTGAAAGAGTATGCCGTGTGTCATTCGTTCATTTAATTGACAAATGTGGAACTTTCTTACGTCATGGTTGGAATCGAAATTCGATTTTATTATTTTTGTAGCACTTTTGTGTCGTTTCCTTTGGATACATTTTGTAGGGGGGTTTTGTTTGTTTTTTGTGATACAGTATAGGTTGGAAGGCAGATTCAATTTGAAGTGTTTACCATTTTGGCCACAAGAGGGCATCACAGTCAGCAGTTGTGATTTATTGTAACCTGTTGAAATAACAAAATGGGGGGGGGCTCGTTTATAGAGCCCATTCCAACGTAGGCGACGTGAATTCAAATCACTTCTAGGTCGTAAAAAGTATCTGTTGCATCTTTGTTTTTATTTTTAAATATATCAACATACGGTGCAACAGAGCAACTTATTGAAATTAATAGGGTTACATTTGCAAAGAAATCAAGCGCTGCAGAGAGACTTGCAAGCAGCAGATGGGGGGGAGGGAGGAGGGCATCTTTGTGAGACCACTTGGCCTTCTCACTCCCTCAAATGTGCCGACCCGAGCCACAGCACGCACACGCGTACAGTCCGGCACGTGCCGAGGGGCCAAGTGATTCCCATCACTTCCACCAACTCCATCCATTTAGCCACATTCATTATTTAAGAATACAAAACCACTCAGACAAATGCGAGCTCATTTAAAGATTCTCTCGCTCACCGCACTCCGACGTTTGCCACATAAAATATGCATCTCTTTTTCGGGAACAATACTTGGATGATGTCACTCAGTAGACAGGCCTATGCGTTGATCGACTTGGTGAGGATTAAGGACTAACATAAAAAGCAGTTGTGTGTTTTTAATCCTCTTTAAAGTGTCAGATGTGCTCAAAGGGACCAACACAGGAACCGACACACATAATGATATCTCCACTGACAATTTGAGTCTCCAAGCCAGAGGTGCTGTCGTAGTAGACCTACCAAGACTGACTGGTGAGGCAGCAAGTCCTCCAGACGGCAAAAATATAAAATGAGAGTGAGAGTAGCATTAAAAAAAAACTATAAAATAGGCTTATCTGGTAACTATGTTGCATTTGCAAAATCTCCAGGTCGCGTTCCGATGAGCTGTTGATCATTTTCCTCATAATCACAAATCTGTGCCTCAGCCTAACTCGGTGTTGACCACACGTTAAGATTTGAGATCAGAAATACTGAACGTTTATAATGTTTCGGCTTCGACCACATTACGTGATAATCGTTCAGGATAAATCTTTCAGATATCTCTGATAATGGGATATTTGCTGACTTTAATTGGATGTGGAAAATTGGCCACAAATTACACCCAATTATCGATCGGTATGTACCTCGCTTAAGATACTTCAGACATTTGTGTTGCAACCTGTTCCAGCAAAGGTGTTCAAGGGCTTCTGTGGAAGAACGGAAACACCTTTTCACTTCCTCTAAGTGTTCGAATATTTTAGTCGATATAAGCCACTTTTCCGGCGGACCCGGTGGTCTAGTGGTTAGCGCGTCGACCTCACAGTGCAGAGGTACAAGGTTCAATTCCAGCTCCGGCCTCCCTGTGTGGAGTTTGCATGTTCTCCCTGGGCCTGTGTGGGTTTTCTCCAGGCATTCCGGTTTCCTCCCACATCCCAAAAACGTGCATGGCAGGCTGATTGAACACTCAAAATTGTCCCAAGGTGTGAGTGTGAGTGCGGATGGTTGTTTGTTTGTATGTGCCCGCAATTGGCTGGCAACTGGTTCAGTATTTCCCCCACCTACTGCCCAAAGACGACTGGGATAGGCTCCAGCACCCCCCGCGACCCTTGTGAGGATAAGCGGATCGAAAAATGGATGGATAAGCCACTTTTCCACATGCCTTGTTTTGAGACATTCAGTTTTCCACTTCAAAATAGTACCACTGCAGGTATCTGGAAAGTAAACTAAAATAAAATAAAGCACTTTGATCAGGGCTCCTGTATATTAGCGATGAGAAATAAAGCTTCAAAATTGATTCATGAACGAGTTGTTTTATATTATTTATTTATTTTGACCCTTAGATAGAACAAAATAAAGCTGTTCAAGAAATTTCAAGTCAGTGTGCTTTCAGCAAAATGTTGAACAGAGAGTGCCATCTACAGGAGTCAAAGAAATACAACAACTGGTTCATGAAGTAAATTTGAAGCTTCATTTTCCCATAACTGCACCGCAGTATTTACTTTTCGGTGTGTGGTTGTGAAATGAGACAAATTGTCCTCAAGGGAAGAATGAGAAGCAACAGGAAAACATAAGTGTGCATTTATTTTTGTCATTTCTCGTCATGTATCATGGATACTCAGTGTGCTTGGAACCCCGGCTGAATAGCTACCGTACAACAAATACAGCTTGTTTTGTCAATAGAAGTGTTGCGGAGAGAAGACTAAGTTCCGTACAGTGGAAAAGGAGCATTGGTGTATATTCATGGGTTTCAGAGAAAATGTTTCTCAATTAATGAATGATTACTGTGCTAACAAAATACTAATTGACATTTTCACTGCCATCCAAAGTCCTGCCCCGCCATCTGGTAGAAATGCTGGTTATGAGGCTTGTAAAAATCCCTCAGTTTCTGCATCACTTCCGGGTCGATCGAAGCATGCGTCCGCCCTTTGGTCTTCCCCAGGCAGTGGGGTTTACTGCTCCCCTCGGGTTTCTTCAGGCAAGGGAAGCCTTTTGTTTTGTTGAAGTAGAAGTGTTTGTCTGTTACAATCCTCTGGAGACCCAGAAAGTCCTGGACTTTCCCCACTTCCCCAGCTGGATCAGTGATGAGACTTTCACCGCTGACCAGATGCATTTGACTCCGGGGGAACCAGGCCAGCCACCGCTCCATGTGCTGGGCGTACAGGCCGATCCATAGAGGGCTCCACTGAGCATCAATCAGGCCTGAAACAGAGATGCAGTACAGGACTGAAAATGAACATTGCCAATGACACCAAGAACTGTCAATGTATTTGGTTTTGTCGAAGGAGAAGAGTGCTTCTCCGCCGCACGCATGCATCAGCACTGATTTTGATGGGGGGAATGTCGGCGCTATTGACTGTCGCCACTTGACAGCCCCTTGTGTTTTTTGCTCCTGTAATGGACAGCATTTTTCACAGCCCTGTTTTGCTCAGCAGAGATGTCTGCACTGTTGGACAATCTGTGTTGGTGGGGCTGGATGGATGGATGCTGAAGCGCGTGGAGCGAGGATGCGTATTTGGAACTGAGAGATGGCACTTGAAATTGAAGCGGATTTAAATGGGACAGGAGAAGTGAACCAATGTCTTTTTTCACCAGTGGATGCTACAGCTTCTTGTTTACTTTCAAACTTAGCTTGTAGCAGACGTGTGGGACGTCATGCACGTCTTGAGCATGACGTCTCTGATCCACTGGTGAAAGGAAACTTTCATCTACAACTGCTTCCAACAACAAGGCATATGCAGGAATAGTGGTTACGATTGCATGACTGTCCATGTCTTTTGTTCTGTTGTGCTGTATTACCGTATTTTGTTATTTTATGTTCACCGTTCTGTAAAGTGCTTTGTCACAGTTGCAGCTCTTGTGAAAGCACAATAATACTGCATCAGCAATTATGTATTGTATTGTATTGTAGGCAAGCTACTTGTACATACAAGGAATAAGTAATGTTATAGAAAGGACAGACAATTCAAATAATTTGTCACCCATTATAAAAATAGCTATTAGACACAGCCCTGTACATCAGCAGACTGGCTCTTATCATTTTTTCTAATCATATCACAAGTCTACCCCTCTATTGGATGCATAATGCAACCGAAGCCGCTATTGTCGCTTCTATTCTATGCGCCTTGTGGTGCGCCCTATATAAGAAAACAGTTTTAAAATAGACCATTCATTGAAGATGCACCTTATTACTCCAAAGTGCCTTATAGTGCGGAAAATACGATATATGATTATAAAATAAGTTATTCACACATTGATGATGCAGGACAAAACTGAGTTGGGGTTCAGTGCCTTGAACAAGGACAGTTCGACTTGGTCACGATGGAGAAACTACCACTGCGCCAAAACTTAAGTTTGGTTGAGGCTGAGCTATTAGAGTCTCACCTGTGGTACGGTTCTTGAAGGCGAGGCTCTCAAAAGAAGGGATGTCAGGTGTCTTGGAGATGATCTGCGTGTAGTCGGATATAGCTCGGGTCACCGGGTCCCGCACGACCACGATCAGTTTCACCTCTTGTGACATCGCGTGGACTCTCGCTGGTGTTTCCACGGTAACAAAGTAGCGCGGTGTCTTCTCCATTACGATCTGGCCATTCAGCGCTTTGGGCATCATACTCCTGCAAAGAAGATTAGACTATGTTGTGACGAGAGTCGCCAAGTCAAGTGCTGCCTAAATAAGATTTATTCCATGTAATCGTTTATCGTTCTTGTCAAATTGTTTTGCTAAAACCAAAAATGTTTGTCTAAACACTGATCTTTATGTGCTGATTATTTAAGACAAAGCCAAACAATCTACTCTCCCTTGATCTTTGCTGTATTTCGACAGGCACGTTCAATTCTTGGGTCTGACGCAAATGAATGTCTTACTGAAAGTGTCAATTGGCAATGATCCTGAACTAACATTGGGAACAGTAACCACACAAACGTGGATGGTATATTTGACTGGATGTCAAACTATGCGCTTGTCTGTAGTCAAGCTAGAAGGCCAGCAGATGGGACTCATTTCGAGAGAAATGACTCAAGAGGCCCCACAGGACCAGACGGAGACATCTGCCGCCACACCTGCCACGCACACCTGACCGCCTGACCAAGCAGCATCATACACTGAATCAGCATGTCTTATTGTACTGTAGCTCTTTTGAAACGATGATGAATGTGCTTAGTTGTATAGCAATGCCCTTGATGTCAGTTATTGACAAAGCTCTATAATTATCCGACATGATCGATTGCATTTTGCCTATTGCCCATGGCCGGAGTGTTATTGGATTCCTTTTATTGAGCTAGAACCTGAAGACACAACTGGAAAAAAAATGCCCGTGATAACAAGGAAGTCATTTACGCAGGATTTGTCATCAATGGGGAGAAAGAAAAAAAAAATGGTGTTCCTCAGGGATTTAACTATGAACATCTAAATTCCACACAGGCAGGAACATTTATTTATATTAGTTGCTCATGAGTTTATTATAACAATCTGGCCTGGAAAAATGTTGTGTGACAAGAAAACAAAATAAACATGCTGCAAATATTAAATACATATGTGATAGAGAAAATGCGGTGTTATTTTTAGCCAATCTTCTATTACCAGAGACACAGTCATGAGTAACTGAAGATTTATATACCCCGAAAGTAGAAGAAGGACACATGAGGGACACGAATAGATATGGATGTTCCGTCGTGCCACTCTTATCGGCAAAGGTTTCATATGTGCTGGTAACTAAAGAAGCCATCAATAGTGTCACCTCCCCAAGCTGTTTATGAATCTGACATACACACCCACACACACAGTGAATACATTTCATCGGATCAGAATGAGACACGCAGACTGCAGACTTCCTTTGTCCTCTCGGTAGCCTGAGCAGCAGGAGCCTTACAGTCTGCACGCACTCACGGATACTTGATGTATACAGATTTTCAAATCACGCAGTCAGCTATTTTTCAAGCAAACTTCTGTTTTCTGTGATTTCTTTTACTGAAAATACACATCCTAATGTTTGGCTATCAGACGCTGGACCCTGGTGTGTACGAATTCATGTTTGTGTGCTTTGCGAGAGTGTTTTGAGCGTTGGGTGACGGATGCAGGAATGATGGCTGCAGATACAAAAACATCCCCATTAGCAATCTGTCGGTGAATAGCCAGAAGCCAAGAGCAGCCCCTCCCGCCGTCGCCTCCACCATGTCATTACCTTAACACAAAGACTAATTAGTGCCCTCAAGAACACGTTAAAAAAAGATGATGTGTCATTTTATCAGGATTTCCCAGACAGACTGATCGACTGACAAAAATCCTGTAACCATGAACAGAGAGGCATTGTTTCTCAATGATTTTTTTTTTTTTTTTTGCTTCGTCCACCCCCCCCCCCACCCACACACCCCCCTCCACCTCTTATAGTTTCATTTGTCTCTAAAAAAACGTTGTACGGGCACCTCTGCAGAGGAGCTAACCTGCACACACTCTGACAATGACAGTGCCACTGCCACCTACTGTAGTGGATTATTATTCATCAGTAGCAAATAATAGGACAATTATATTCCATCATTATTTACACTGTGATTCGTAGTCTACTTCGAAAACGTGTCTGGATCCAGATGATTTTATTTCATGCAACGATTGACGGAGTAAGATTGAGTTCATTCAACAAACCATTTTTTTCAGTGTACCAAAACAAGTAGAAAATAAAAAGTGCTACATTTTTGAAATGTGACAGAAAGTACTGAGGGTCCAACTGGAGTGTGCAGCTCATCAACTACAGTAACAGCTAGTCAGAAGAGAGGGAGGAAAAAAAAAACAACTCAAATGAAGTCGAATTATTGATACGTGTGTGCCTCGTTCCACTTGGATTGGATGAGCGTTTGTCTCAAAATGGAAAATCGGAACCTTTCTATTCATGCGTTGGGTTGCCTGAAACGGAGGCCTGAACTACTGCCCCTCTCATTTCTTTCAATGGGACCACTGTGGCGTTGTGATGCTCAGTGAGACATGATGCAGTCCTCTTCCAATCATAAGAATGGACTCAAACCATGATTGTGCAGTTCAATTATTGGTTGTTGTGATAAAATACAAAGTGATGGCACCCATTAGAAGAGTTCAGGTTGACTGGATTTGCATCTACCATATTTTCCGCACTATAAAGTGCACCTAAAAGCATTCAATTTTCCCAAAAGTCAACAGTGCGCCCTATAATCCGATACGCCTTATATATGGTGTCACAGTCTCTTTATATTCCCCATTGAATTGTTTCCCTGTTAGTGTTCCCATTCCATCCAGTGGTAATTATTAGCAGGAACCAATTGTAACGTAAAAGGGTTCTGCCTGACACTAATTGACATGTGCAGTCACCAACACACACTCCAACAGACAATTACTTTGTGAGTCCTGCGCAGCCATTATGAAACAAATAAAGTTAACTACTGACTAAACGAAGGATGAAGGAGACAAGCTAAAGCTAGCAAGCTAAATATCCAGAGAAAGACTTCTCTTTGTGGATGTGTGTCCATGAGCTTTGTGTGCCTCAATTGTCTTCATAACTTTTGTCTTTCATTTATTGTTTTGTAATGCCCTTTGTATTTATATGTTTCACGTCCGTGTTTGTGACCAGTTCTCACAGGTTGCCAAGGTATAAACTCCATATTTGATGTAGCGTCATGCTACATCCTGAAGGAGCTACAAATGGATCAATATTCTGATTTCTTGGACGTAGTATTTAAAAATATTGTAAAGCACTTTGTTACAGCTGCAGCGATTGTGAAGGCTCTAAATAAATAAATCTGGATAGCATTGCATTGTATTCCCCTTAGCGTAGCTCCATTTAGTGGATGCATAGTGCAGCCGCAGCCACTATTGTCACTTCTATTCTGTGTGCCTTATTTTGCATTGCGTGCAACACAGTATATGAAAGCAGTTTTAAAATAGGCCATTCATTGGAGGTGCGCCTACTAATCCGAAGCGCCTTATAGTGCAGGAAATACGGTATTTGGCATAAGTGCAGACAGGTTTTAGGAGTTGGTTGAGGAGACTGCACCCCTCATTATATGGAGAGGAAAAGGGGAGAACTGCCTGGGAGATGGTTGGAACTGAGAGGGTTTATTTTGCAATTCATGAGAAAGTTTTTCTGCAATATCTTGAATTATTTTTTTTCTGCTTCTGAAAAGTTGCCATCCATGTTTAAATCATCTTAACCACATCATTGATTTGGATTTCAAACATGTAACTCGCCTATGTCCTTTTCAAATTTGTCTTTGATGCGAATTTCAAATAAATCATTTGGATAGTATTATTTCTTCTCCGGAAGAGAATCAACTGCTATGACTGTTATGTAACAACAGAACAGTGGGAAGGTGTATTTTCCTATAAGAAGGTTGAGAAGTGATTTTCTTTTATTTCATTTTCATGTTGTAGTATTTATAAAAAAAAAGATCAGGTCAAAGTGACCCAGTCAAAATTCCCTCAAACCTATTTTTACAAATTTACACCGTTTTTTTTCTCCTTTGTAACAACCAGCTGGTAACATGTAACAGAGAAATTCCTGATAAAAGCAATCTGTCTTTTAACGGACTTAATTGGCACTTTGAACGAAAGATCAAACATCCGATATGATGAACACGGGGATTAGCCAGCAGTTTATCATAAAGCCTCTGTTTGCCTTTGAGGAAGCTCTCTTTAGTTAGCAATTTCGCAATACTTCACCGACACTCCCCGGTGGGTTGATACGCGAGACTCGCCAAAGCCGCTGGCTATTGATCTTTTCGTAGGGGGGCTTAGAGTAACTATGTTGCCCACTAGGACGATGGTGTGATTGACACAAGGAGGTGTGAATACGAGGCGACGGAGAATTAGACTGTGGATAATAATGCAGCAGTGGGTCTCAGCTGGGAACAAGAGTGGCAGGTGGAAAAAGGGGATGTCAGGACCCTCTAGAGCCCCATCAGTAGCATGCTGTGTCATGCAGTGTGTGTTCGCAAATGTGAAATGTTCCCCAGCTGGAAGATGCAGCAATGTATTGTGGGTATTAGACTTTGCTGGATCAGATATGTCAACATTTACGTATTTTGTGATCCAAGGAGAGAAAAAGGGCATTGGCTGCGTTATTTATGGGACAAATTTGAGTGTGTGAAAATGAGTCTGTATGCATGACTGTGTTATGAGGAGGCCTCTCATCGCCTCTGTATGGGGGACCATTAGAGGGGTCGGTCTATTGTGGCTGTGCCCTGTCCACTTCCAAGAGAAATCCATCATAGAGGTGCCCAGGGTCTCGAGGGACGGTCTTAATGAGAGCCGAGCTGCCCCACCCGTCTGGGCCCTCGTGACGATCGCCTCCAAAACAGATCCTGGACCAACCACACCTGAACCCCAGTTAATCACAAAATAAACAAAAGCACAGGCCGAAAGCCAAATCAGTCGGTTTATAAGAGCACCGTGTTTTTTTTTGGAGTGCTTTAAATTGGAAAACTTGAGTCAGCATTCATCTCTTACATTATGTTTTGTACCCACCCACTGAATCATGCAGAACATCGACTGTTGCGACGGGCATTCTTCTTTGATTTGCATGGCAATTACATGCCATTGTAGGAACACAAAAACACAAGTATCACCATGCGCTGTGTCACGGTGGCACAAAGC